TATACTTTTGCTGATGGGAAAGGGCTGTAGCTGAGTACTTCCTACAACAGCAATTTTACCCTGGAAAATACAAACCTAATGAAAGCCTCCCAGTGGCGATTTGCCAGTTTAAATTAGATGTTTTGATAAGGCCAGAAAATGTAATTGAGACTTCTGTAATCTAAATTAACAGGGAAGATACCAGGTTGATTTGATGTGTCTGAAGTACTTCAGGGCTGTTTGTTTTGCTTGTTTCACGGAGGGTTTGTTTGTTTTGTACTTTCTAATGGGGGATGTTTTGAAATCTGGATGGTTTGGGTTTCCAGGGGAAAGGCAACTTCTGTTTTTAAAACAAACAAAACCCCATCCTTTTCTTGGAGAAGGGGAGGTTTGCTTGTTCTTTGCCTCTGTGCTCCACCCTTAGAACAGAAGGAGAAATAAATGCTGGTGCTGTTCACGTTCTTGTCAACCAGCAAAGCCTCTGTTTTTAAAGGCAGAGCAAGGGAAAACCTTGACTGAATTTTCCCAGCTTCCAAAAACTGCTGGACATGATGTTTCATGATGTGGTAAACAGAAAGATGAGTCAACAATAATAATATTAGTTAAAATTAAAATTTTGAGGACCTGATTTTCTCCCAATATATAATAGTGTTGAGTGATAAAATCCAGACACTTGCTAAGTCTCCCAGTAGCTGTGGTAGGAGAAATCAGCCAAAATCTGAAATGTGATTACAATGAGCAGCAAAACATCCTGCAGCAACAAAATTGGCATTAACATGTCTGACTTGAAGGGAATTTGGAAGGCACTAAAGGCCAGCTGTGCTTCTGCAGATCTCCAGGATAAAACTCCTGATTTCCACAACTTAGCTTAAGTTTATCTGGCAACTTTAATATTGCCCACTTGAATCCTCATTGCCTGTATTCCAGATGCCATCCCAGTGCACCAGCCTGGCACAGGGAGTTTTGCCTGGCACAGAGAATTTTACCTGGCAGAACAAGTCAGGTCAGCTGTCTGTGGGTGGCGTTTTTCCTGAGCCAGCTGCACACATGGCACTAATGCACCCCTGGATCCTGGAAATGCCAATGGCAGAAATAATTATTTATTGTAATGAATATTTCCCAGAACTTCTGGTGACTTGTGGAGTCCTGAGCAATGAATCCTGTGAAGGTACCGGCAGCTGGGTCCCCCAAATCCCCAATCACACAATTCTGGCACTTCCTAGAGCAATCCATCCTCACGTGATGCACGTATTGACGCTCCTCAGCCAGAAAGGCAGCTTCCAAAAAGCTTTTCTTGGTGTTGAAAAGCAAAAATAACGGCTCTGCTGAGTTGCTGAAGGTCAGTGTACAACAGCATGACATCGGATATGACACCACTGCTAATCTAATCAGAGGAAAACAGATGTGGGAAGCTCCCACGATTTCCTGCTTATTAGGATTAGATTTGTCCTGTGATTATGAGTCTCTTTTGCCTTCTGGAGATATGGATGCTCAGACAATACTCTTAAAGATGCATTTGAGAATTATTAAGAGCTGGTTTGTCACAGCATCTTCCCTATCTGTTGTTGGCATTAATTTATTAATGAGATAAATGTTATCCCCTTCAGAAGTAATTAGGACAACTGTTTTATGTGTGTGTGCATCCCAGACAAGTATGAAAATGCTACAGATTTCATAATCTTTGCCATTTTTTCTGAAGACAATTAACTGGGTTAAGCAAACTCTCCCTGTGAGAGACCACAGAGGCCAGACCTCCAAACAGTGCCTGGTTTTATTTATTATTTACTACTTAACATCAGTCACGTGTTTCTATTTCAAATGTCTTCTTTTTCACACTTGATTGGATTTTTGTTTGAATATTTTCCAGGGCTGAACTCCTCCTGTAGCCTCTCCACTTAGGAGAGCTGATATTTCTTGTGGTGTAAGGCTGCAGAGCTCAGTTTAATTAGTACTCGTGGGGTGGTTACAAATCGTAAACCTCAGTTGCATCTTGAGTGGGAGAACAGACTTAAAATCTTACTTTTCCTGTGAATTTATGTTGTGTAATCACACATTCCTTCCCTAAAGCTCTTCCAGGCATGGTATTTATCCTTTCTTGTGTCTAACAGTGTCACCATTATCATCAACCTGCAAAGAAGTGCCAAAGGTTCATTAATTTTAAAACCCAAGTGCAGGCGTGGTCGGGGGTGCACAAGCTGCCAGAAGGGGCAGCCAGGTGAGCGTGGAGGCACAGCAGAGGTTGTTATCAGAATCCCCAGGACTCCCATCTGGCCAGAGCTCTCTGGGAGCAGATGTTTCACTGCCTTCCCTCAGAGCACTGCAGCTGCAGCGGCTCCTTGGAGGAACAGGGAAACCCAAGGTTGAAGGCAGTGATGTCTGAAAGCAAACCCCCAACAGCACCTGTTGGAAATTGGGCAGGGCTGACTGAAAGGAGCAGAACCATCTCTGGTGGTGTTTAAATGCAGCTGCTGCTGTGACACCATCCCAAACCTGTGTTCCTTTGACCCAGCCTGTGCGTGTCCCATGTCCTTCCCTGGGAACGGAGCTGTCGTGGGTGGGCTGGAGCATGGAAGGAAGAGGGATTTTAAGTCACTTCTGTTGCCTAAATCCCTATTTTCCTTTCTGATCCCTTGTGATGCTACTCCAAAATCCATCCCCTGAGGAAAGGCTGGAACCAAAAGACAGAGCTGCTTCAGGTTGGAACCCAAAATGCTGGAGCTGTTCCAGGTCTGTTGAGCTTGAAAGCAAAAGGACAGAGCTGTCCAACATCTGCCAAGGCTGAGCCCAGCAGGGTGGGGCTGCTCCAGGTCTGCCTGGATGATCACAAGTCACGAACCCTGACTGTCACACACCCTGCTCTGGCCTCTGTGTGTTCACTGAGGTGGCAGCACAAAGCACTTCATCAGCCTCTGACTCCTTCCATCAGATGGCAAATTCTGCTGGCCCTTCTCATTCCAGTTCTGGTTCTTATGGAAAAGGGCTGCAGGGTCAGACCCCTGCACTTTGCTAAGATTGAATCCTCAGCAGGAATTGCATCTGCTGCACTCCATTGGTTTTACTTTTGTTTAACAGACCATAAACAATTTGTTTATATAGACAGCTTTTCATCTTCCACAGTGAATCATCAGTGAGCTCTCCTGGGATCAGTCCCTACTCTGGTTGTTGCTTTTCGTTTATATACCAGGCTTGGATGATTTAGATCATCAGTGTTTCCATCTGAGCTCCAAGGCAGCTGCTTTATGGCCTTTTCCTCACACAAAGGATCTTACTAAAAATCTACATTATGGGTCTGGCAGATTAAGCTTTGCTTTGAAATACTTTGATATAAAGTAGAAAAGAGATGTTACGACCTATTTGCCACAGAGAGGAGAACCCCAGTCCATCAATGCTCAAAACACAGGCCCCTCTCTCTGAGCAGTCCTGCTTTAATGGGGGTAATGATGAGCTCTTGCTCTGTGTGTGCTGAAAGGAGAGGAAATGTGCAGTACAGGGCACTGTGTCCTACCCACAGAGCTCAGAGACATGGGAAATGACCAGATGGGCTGAGGGGATGCCCTGAGGGTGACCAAGTGACCTTGTGTGGAAGCACAGGCAAGGCTCTTTAGCTAAGAACTGGAATTTTGTGAAGGAGTCTGAGCATCTGGGATGAGGCACAGCCCAAACCTGCTCAGAAGGGCAGCCTGGGCTTTAGGAGTGGCTGGAACCAGAGAGAACTGAAGGAAAACCTTTGATTTGCAGTTTCATTTTTAGTCCATCTGCATATTATGCTATAGGGCAAGTGTGGCATGTGGTCCTCAGGTCAGAATTGCAGGCTGTTTCAAAGTGTTTGTCTTTAGTTTTAATTCCTAGCTATTTTTAATTAACTTTTTAGTTTCACACCTTGAGTTTGATGCATTAAGTGTGGTTACACCTCCAGTGGCTGAAAGACTCCAAAGCGACCTCCACTCTTCATATTTTCATCAGTTTTTTGGGAGGAATCTCTCCTTCTGGGGCCCAAATTATGTGTTTTGATGAATGGCATTTCCCTTGAAGTGTCACTGAACTCTTGGGGTGATTTCCCTTGCTGAGCTCCAGAAGTAACTCAAATTAACAGCCCCTGAGGTTGGTTTTAACCTTAGAGGGAAGGAGATGCTGCAGCTGCTTTATTGCGAAAAATACTGGAAAAAATAGTGAGACTACTCCTTGAACCTGCACCAAATGTACTTAATTCAAATTAAGTCTTGGAAGGGACTGCTTTTTCCTGTCAAGGTGTTTATTTTAAAAAGTACTTTGGAGCAAATAATTCATTATCCTCTCACCTTGCATTTGGTGATTGCTTATAATAAGAGTCCACTTGGAGAAGCAGTTGGCTTTTTCCTTCATTATATATACATAGACCCAAAGAATTTTTTATACTCCAGTAAACATAATTTGTAGTTCATGACGTGTTATGAGTTTCTCGTTGTATGAATGTCTTAAAATGAATTTATAAATAATTTTTATGGTTCAGTGAGAAAAGCCATTAAGGTGTTTTAAATGTTTGGAAGTGCAGGAGTTGAAAGAGTGGGTTGATATATGGGGTGCAATGGGAATTGGGAGCTGTGCAGGAAGCTGTAGAGGAAATCTAGAGACCTTCAACTAAAAATATTAAAACTACTACTGGTAGAAAGAGTACAGAAGAGAATTTAAAGGTGAAAGGACATGAAACACATTCAAGTAATAATATCACAGTGTTCACTCACTTATTGTGATCTATTTAGATCAAGGTAAATGTTAGATTAATTTTAAATGTTTAAATAAATCTTTGAAGGTCTGCAAATAATTTGTCTGCTGAGGCATTGTCTCTCCCCCACACCTTGGAACCTTTCAGTCTAAGAAATGCCACTTGTGACTCTAAAAAAACATGGTGGTGGGGCTCCAGGCTTGTCCTGAATTTCTTAATTATTCTGGTCCACAGAATGCATAAGAAAACAACTGCACTGTGTGACTCCTGGGATCCTGGAGGTGAATTGCTGTCCATGAATTTCCCTTTTCTCCTCTAGCATGAAAAGCACGGCGCTAAATCCATGGGAAGGGGTAGAAGTTGAGTGTGGCACCATCTCTGCTGAACTAGAGAAACTTTCTGCAATGAATTGCTCAATCACTTCATTTGGAAGAAGAGCAACTGCTATCAGCTCTAATTGGCTCCCAGAACCCAGGGTAAGGTCTCTTAACTATTTTTCTGTGTTATTTTTAATTAACTTGGAATGAGCATTTGTGCATAGAAATCTCAGTGCAAACGTGTGCAAGCATTTTTATACCTCCCTCCAGCTGCCACGCTCTGCAGGCAGGGATTCTGTTCCATTCTGGCTGCTCTTGCCAAATTTCCTGGGAAATGTGCTGGGGTCAGCCAAGGGGGCAGGTGAGGGACCGGGGCTGCAGCAAAGGGACAAGCACCAGGTTCAGAACATCCCTGAATCCCACTGAATTCCATGAGAATTTACATGGGCATGGAGTGACAGGGCACAGGGAATGGGTTCAAGCTGCCAGAGGGCAGGGGTGGATGGGATATTGGGAAGGAATTCTTCCCTGGGACGGTGGGGAGGGGCTGGGATGGAATTCCCAGAGCAGCTGGGGCTGCCCCTGGATCCCTGGAAGTGCCCAAGGCCAGGCTGGACAGGGCTTGGAGCAGCTTGGGACTGTGGAAGGTGTCCCTGCTTTCCATGGGATTTATGGATGGGATTTAATGTCCCTCCTAACCTAAACCATTCAAGGATTTTACCATTTCTAGGTACAATTTATTTATTTTGTCAAAAGCAAATTACTCTATCTCTTCACATTATTGTAGCCACCAGCTAAATGACTCCATAAAGCATAAGAAAACCCCTGGTTATTGTTTATTTCAAACATTGGTTGTGAAGGTAATCTGTGACTCAGAGAATAAACTGGGCATTTCCAGGCTACTGCTGATAAACAAAGAGGGGAATTCATCCTCCTGAGGATTAAAGTGTCATAATTGATAAGGAATTTTGTGTAACTGCATAAGTCATTAATTTAAACAAATAACCAAAAAAATTAAACCCCCGCACAAAGCCAACGACATTAACAAAATTGTATTTTTTGCAGAATGCTTCCCTGCTAGAAAATGATACCACAGAGAATCCAAAAGTGGCTCCTGGTTCTGGTCCATGGCCTGACCTCCCTCTTCCCAGAACTGTGGCTTTGAGATGCCCCAGGTGTGCAGACATTTGGAAAGTCAGGTTGGCTCACGGGCTCCCACTGAAGCTGTCAATGAGTGTCTGGGTTGACTTTTCCTTTCAGGAGACACTTCCCTAAATAATACATCTTCCAAGCTGGGATTGCCATGACAACAGTTCAATTTGAATTACAAAACAATTAGATATCAAACCCCCACGTAATCCATCTCCATGTAAGTCTGTGCCAAGAGGCAGGTAGAAACTTCAACATCTTCATTTCAGGGGTTGGAAACCCTGCTGCTGCCTGCCATGGTTTGATGGAGAATTGTACTAAAAAGCTCCCAAAAGTCTTATTTAGATAAAGATGCTCAATTCCCCCTTGAATGGGTGTCCTGTAAGTGGTTTAGCTTCCTTTAAAACAAAATAGCCAATAAACACCTGTCTTGTCCCATCCAAATTCCTACGCAATAAGCTTTGGTAGGAAATCATCACTTTGTCTTCTAAACCTTATTATCGTGCAGCTTCTTAAATATTTAATTTTCATAATGAACACATTCCAGTGTTATCGTGGATGAAATCCCTTGTAGGGCTTGAAAAACTACTACCCCAATTTCGAGGATGTTTGCCTGGGAGCAAGGCTTGAAAATGAGGAGTTTTCTCAATTGCTGGAATTCCACAACAAATGTCAGTATGAATAGAATTAGAATTTTTATATATCACCACCCCTCTCTTCTACTGCAAGTAGGCAGCAAAATGCATATGCTGGCTGATGGCAAAATGTCATTGCTCTGTCATGAGCACTTGTGGGTATAATCCAGGTGTGGGGGTGATATTTTCTCTGCTAGAGGTCACTTTGGAAAAGGGCATGGAGAAAGGAGGGAAGGAAAAAGGTGTTCTGTGAGCTGGAAATGATGGTAGAAATTCTGCCTGCACTCAAAAGCTGCTGTCTGGGAGGTGTTGGTGGAATTGAACAGCAAGTTTCTGCTTAATAATTAAATAAATTGGAACAGAAATGCTTTTTACACAGGTGGAGTAGTGGCCCTGTGGGAGCAGGAGCTGCTGCCTCAGTCGGAGATGTCTTCATGACTTGCGGGGCAAGTTTGTCAGAGCTCTCCTTTCACAGTTAAAGGTTAATAAAGGCTCATGTGGCTGTGCAGAACCACTGGAAGGACAATCATGGCACAAACTCTGAGTAATGGTGAGCCAGGTCTGGGTTTGAAATGAGCCCCTTTCTCCCTGCCAGGAGGGGACAGACGGGGGGGTCGGGCTCTGCTGCCAGGGAACAGGGACAGGAGGAGAGGGAACGGCCTCAGGCTGGGCCAGGGGACACTCAGGGTGGGCAGCAGCAGGAATTTCCCCATGGAAAGGCTTTCTGAGCTTTGGAAGGGGCTGCCAGAGAGGTTTGGAGAGGCCATCCCTGGAGGTGTCCAAGGAAGGGCTGGAGGTGGCACTGGGAGCTCTGGGCTGGGAACAAGGAGGGTGTGAGATGTTCCACAGTGATTGGTGCCATTATGGAAACCCACCATGGGATCAGTATAAACAGGAATATTGATCTTAAAGTAAAACATGGACACGAGACAAAGGAAAATATAAGGTTTCATTATTTTTGTTTAAATCCCTTTGCTGTGCATTGCTAGCTTTTGCTGTTAGGTATTTTTGCCACTATGTAATTGCTTTAATTATGAATTGTACCCACTCTTTGTGTCTAAAGAAACAGCAGGCTTGTGCAAACGTGTAAAAACTTGTCAGTGCTGTTACCTGCCTGCCAGGAGTGTGACCTGGCCACACGTGGGGGCTTTGTGCAGAGCTGCTGGGGGCTCCCAGCCACTGCTGCTGGGGAGATATCCAACATGTTCAGAACTGCCTGGACTTGTACCCCAGCACAGAAATAGCCCCACATGTTCAGAATTGTCTGGACTTGTACCCCAGCACAGAAATAGCCCCACATGTTCAGAATTGTCTGGACTTGTACCCCAGCACAGAAATAGCCCCACATGTTCAGAACTGCCTGGACTTGTACCCCAGCACAGAAATAGCCCCACATGTTCAGAATTGTACCCCAGCAGAGAAAGCACAGCCCTACAAGGAACTGCTGATAGAAGAGGCAGAGAGCAGGGGTAAGGGGATGTGTTGGTGGAGCAGAGACTCCCCGCATCCCCAGCGCTGCTTGCTCATCCTTTATCAATGAATTAATAAATTACCTTATTGATTGCCCAACCCAACTGTGGTGAGCTATTCATAACAAGGGCATCGGGCACTGCTGGGATTGGTGGTCCC